GATGATAAGGCAAGAGACATAAACCCACGCCATTCCTGCCGGAATATAAGAAATGGGACCCATGAACCCCCTCCATCCCCAAGGCACCAGGTGGCGGAACAGAAAGGACCCCTCTCCTCCAAACGTCGAAAAAAAGGCGGGGGGGAATCTGGGAAGGAGAATCCCAGAAACCGTTCAAATGGGAGCAAGGGAGAAGGCCAACGACGCGATGGATCGATCCATCGCCTTGCCGAAGGGCAGGCCATAGGCCGACACCTCGTGGTTGTGGATGGCCCGAGCCTCCGAGGAGAAGCCAAAAGCCTCGGGAGAAACCAAAACGGAAACGGTGGAAGACCTGCCGTGTCGTTTTAGTCGTTTTGTCCCACTTGTTCTTGCGCTTTGGTCGTTTTCTCCTGCTTGTTGTGGTTTTTGGCTGTGTCTTTCCGACGGTTTACATGAGGTGAGTGCAGTAATTGCACTATCTCGACGCAAACATGTGTTCCTGACTAGAAGCGTCAGTCCAAAGAATAAAAGAAAAACGGACTTTGCGCTCTAAGCCCCAAAGCAGCAAATGAGTGAACAATCGGATTGAATCATCATAGCGATTCATGCCCACCAAGCTAAAAGACCTGTCAACGCAAAACGCCTTAGGAGGGTGTGATTTGACCACTTACAAGGGTGTGCAAATTGCTCGTTTTTGTCTGGAGGCACACTCAGGCCAAGACACTCTTTTATACACAGAAATAGACAGGCCTGTGTGTACCTCCAGATAGGAATTTGCACACCCTTGAAAACAAACAAAGAGTGAAAAACTCAGTGCTCCTCAAGCCTTCTTCGCATGACCTGACTGCCCATCATGTGCAAAGACGGGAAGTCAACAAAGCACCAAACACAACCAAGCAGTACCTTTCAAGACACACAGCGACAAGAGCCGACTAAGTGCAATGTGAAGACACACAAAAGCCAGTACGGCAACAACTGATCAACGGAGTGTCTCAGAAGATATGCAGAGACAGGCGGCCAACTTTAAGTACATGTGTCGACAACCATAAACACCAAGTACATTTCAAGACGTACAAAAGTTGCTTGACCAACCAAATATCCCTCAAGACAATCGAAGGCTAAGCATGACGCGGCGGGACCCTCAAGGTCTGCAAAGGCACGTGCCTACGTCCTCTCCAAGAACGATGGATGCTGACCCAAAGTTGGACAACGGGAGCAAGCTGGAATTGGCAAAATCATAGTCATACACGCACCGGGCCAGGCATGACGGGAGCACGCCGCACTCTCCCTAACCACTCTCTTGAAGAGTTCAATTTTCCTTTTCGACCTATCCCAGGAAAACCGCCGCTGTTCTGATCTATCTTTGAGCCTCAAACAGTGGGAAACTCAAATCATCGTCCAAACAGCCGAAAGTTTATGCCAAACCAAGTTGGGAGGGAGTATGGCAAAACCGAGTTTGGAAGTTTGGGAGTCAATCCAATTCTCTAGAGCCGACACAGTCAATCCACCCCCCCGCTTGAGCGTAAATGGGACAACCCCGGAACACTGTGATCCAGGCCTTGAAGGCCATTTTCAGGTCTGACCAAACGTCTTTTGCCAATCCAGCCAGACCCTTCAGACCCCAAGCCCTGACTCCAAACCCCGCGCCTGGTGGTCCCAGGCAGAGGCCTGCGACATGGCGCCGGACCAGCCAACCGCCAGGTGGCTGTCCCGGAGAAGCTCCACCTCCACTTCGCTCAGTTTGTCTGACGTACGCCGCGTGACTACTTCCCCTCCCATATTATGGACACTGAACGGGTAGATTTTGCAATGAAACCTTCATTTAGGCTATTGGTGTAGGGTTCTTAGCTGCGACATGTGTTAGGGTTCTTGGCTGCAACATGTACTCTAAGTGTCCATGGCACAACCCCGCCCCCCTCCGTTCGGGTGTGCCACGGACAAGACAAAACAAACTCTCCCAAGGTTCCACACACCCCCCCCCCCCCCCCCCGGCAAAAAATAAACGAGAGAAGGTGCGGGGGGAGGTGTTTGCCCCCGAAGACATGAAGGAAAACTTGCAAAATTGGGGACCAGTTCAAAGAGCCCCAGAAATTTCGGAAAATCCCCATCGGTCCGAACTCCGAACTCCATCCCCGCCTCGAATTGGTAGCGGCCCGACTGCACCAGGGGCAAGCCCTGGATGCAGGCTGGGCAATTCTTCAATTCATCAGGACGGTTGTGCATGAAAAGGCAAAAAGGGTTTCTTGTTCCACGCCCTGCGCTTCCAAGCAAACCATTGCAGGTAACCAGAAGCTGCCACGCCCCAACCCGCGGCTAAAACCACCCGGAACTCCGAGCCGAAGCCACACGAATCCGATTCGAACCAAACGATCCCGCCTTGACGCCTTGGGTCCTGAAGGCCTGCTCTGTACACTGGGCCTCCAGGTCCTCGCAGATGATGCTGCCCTCCACCTGAGTCGGCTGAGTCGGGAGGAGACGTAATTCGCTGTCTGAAAGGGAAGCAGGGCTTTTTCATCCAAAGGAGGGAGGGTGAAGGGACTGGTTCAGGCAAAAGAAAAGCACAAAGCACCCCAGCAACATCTCGCCGATAAGCCGGCAGGCTTACGAGTTCAGCCGACCGCCTGGAGCGGGTTGAAGCGGAAGCACTTCTTCTCCAGCTGCGGCTCCATCTTCCGCGCCAGCGTCCGGATGTTGGGCCCCGCCTTCTTCGCCTGAGCCACGGCAGAATCTTGGTGAAACCCATTTCAACATGTGCACTGGGTATGCCCAATGTCATCCCTCCGACTACCATAGGTATCCTCTGTCCAACAAGGACGGAAGTGGACATCCTGCCTGCTCTGGAAGGGTCAGGAAATGTCAGTACACAAAATCGGGAGCGTGCCAACTCAAAAAAAGAGACACCAAAACATGGGAGGTTCTCTCTTTTGACAAGTGGCCATGAATTTCGATAAGGGACCCTTTGGACATCATTTGGGTGGGGATTCATGTCCATCACTTCTGTGGTTCCCCAATATGTATATTATATATATATAATGTTATAGGTATATGTATAAATACATATCTATAATTTTAATATGTACATATATTATTAAAAACAAAAACAAAAAAACAAAAAGAAGAAGCAAAACAAAAACAAAAAAAATGCCGCCCCCCCCCCCCCCCCACCCCACCCCACCCCCCCACCGCCTACCCCCCCCCCCCCCGGGCCCCGAGCGATCTCGCCTCCGAGGCGGAGGCGTCCGAGGCCGCGATCTCCGCGCGGCGCCGCTCCAAGTCCTCCTGGCGCTGCTTCAGATGGGGCGGCACCTGCACGAGGTCGCGAGAGACAAGGCACGAGGCGGCAAGCCTCTTCCTCTGCAAGCCAACACGGTGGTTTTACCAATTTTTACTTCTTCCTATTCCCTTTACAGCTCTTAAAACAAACACAGACTTAAATTATTAATATGAGTAACACCCATTAACATTGATTCACCACCACCACCACCACCACCACCACCACCACCACCGCCCGCCCCTGGGAGAATCTTTGCAGTTTGCGCCGCGGCGCGTAGGGCGCCACCACCCGGCGCTTGCGCTCCAGCCAGCGCTCGTCCGCCTGGCAGCTGCAGCGCCCGTGGCGCCGCAGGCAGCTGCAGCCCGGCGCCGCTTGCGCCGAAGCGGCGGCCGGCTGCAGCACTGCGCGCCTGTCGCGCACAAAGGCGTCACAGAGAACTTGGAGCAAGAGTCGAGCAAAAGTGCCAGGTAGCCTAGATTCTCTCCTTTCACACGTTTCAGCCCGAAGAATTTGGGTGTTTCCCCCAAAAACACGAGTACAAGAACAGGCACGCCCACACCTCGCGCCTCGCGTGGGGCGGGGTGTACTTGGGCACCCGCGCGCGCTTGGACTCCAACCACTCTGCATCCTCCTTGCAGGTGCAGCGGCTGCCTCGCCGCAAGCAGCTGCAGCCTGACAGGCCAAAAGCAATTGTGGCCCTTTGTGGATTCCGCATGGATCCCAAACTCGCGGACACCTCTATACCTGACTGGCTCGGTTCTGCCCGGTTCTAAGGCATTTTGCATCCAGCGGCTGCATCTTGAATGCCAAAAGCGAAGTAGCTCAACTTCCAAACCAAAAGCGGCACCTTCTCTGTCGCTGGCCGGTACCAGATTCGGCTTCGAGGTGCGCTCCTGGGTCAGAGACACCCCCAAAGACTGCGCACGATGTCAAGCTCACCGCTCTTCAGGAATGTCCCATCTTTTCCGGCGAATCTGCAAGTCAAACCAAGATGGAAACCGCCCAGTTTCGAGCGAAGTGGTCTCTCAGGCTCGGGCTGCGGCACCCTCGGGCCGGATGACAGCACGTCGCTCTCCCTCCTCACGTGGCAAGTGGGGTCCTGGAATTACCCGTACCCACGATTACTCGAGGGTTGGACCTCGGCCTGACAAAACAACCCTATGGAACCAGGTAGTAGAGCCACTGTGCTCGGAAAGTGTGAAAGGGTGGTTCGCCGAACCTGCGGGCTGCAAAACCGGTACCACAACTTCTCCCAAGCACTCTGCCTGACGCTTCAAAGAAGCTCTGGGGGGCGGAGAGGCCGAGATAGTCCGCATCGGCATGACGAGACGCGAGATGCGCAGCGCCCCTCGCAGAGAACCGGCCTATGTCTTTTGGCTAGACAAACACATGGCAATGCTTGCTGCATGCTGCTGTGGGGCTTTGCTTCTCGTGGTTTGCTATGCTGTCAAGTGCCAATAGTGCATGAAAAGCCAGTGTGCGGCGCATGTTTTTTGCCGGTGCGTTGGGCCCTTGGGCAACAGTGACCGGGACGGAATCGACTTCCCTCTAATTATTTTGCAGTGGTTTCAAGGTGTTCCGGGGGTCCAGGGGTCCAAATCCAATCCAAAAAAAACGATCCAAACACCAACTAAGGGTTAGGGGAGGGACTCCTGGAGTGGGGGAGTCTCTGCAAAGGGTCCAATCCACCAATCCAATCCACCAACTACACGCTGGATGCACCCGCAGAAACTGAACGGATCGCCTCCTTCCAAAGCTTTTGCTTCTCCCCCTCCACCTGCCGGCCGGGAGGCGATGGAAAGCCCGAAACAGTGTCGGCCATGGGTGAATCACTGTTTGAACGATCTCATTTCGGTTGAAGACCACAGTTTAGTGTAAATCTCCTGGTCTCGCTCTAAAGGATGACCGGGGTGGTTGTTTGCGAGAGTGACAACCTCGGATTTGCTTAGCCAGGGCTGGTTGAAGGAAGGGTTGGTGTCTTTTTCCAGTTTCCGCAGGGGAGAACCCGTGTGGCTTTGCCGAGGGTACCCTTTTCAAAAGATTTTCAGGTTGGTTGAAGCGTGACTAAAAAGAACATAACAAATGATTTTAACACATACTCAAGCGGAGAATCTCCCCCGGATTCCCGACCCAGGGGACCCAACACCTTCTTGCTTGAGGGGGTGACAAGGACCTATATGGGAATAAATCTTAATGGGAGATATGTCTCACATCATTTTGGGGGATTCATGTCCACCACTTGTGAGGGTTCCAACTCTCAAGTTCACAGCATAGGCTCGTTGCCAACGATTTCCGGTGGTCGTTCCCAATCGCCCGCCTGGAGTTATTCAACTCCCAACTCGGGCCCGGGCCTTGGAAGCGCGCCCCTCCGCCGCCTCCGCCGCTCTGCGGGCGGCCTGGAGCTCCTGCGTCAGCTGCGCTTCTTTGCCTGCGGATGGAGCAGGCTGCAAGTTGCTAAGGGGATCCCTGGTCGTTTTCCCAGAGCCCTTTGAATTTCCTGCTGAGGACCGGCGAGTTGTCCATCCGCAAGGTCTGTTCCTCCCAATGGAGCCCACCAAAGTTGATGACTCTCAAAGTTTCACCTGAGAGGCGGACTGCCCAGCGCGGCGCGAAAGCCGGAGAAGAAGTCGGGATCCTCCTGCCACTGGAAACTGGAGGGTCCCTGGTTGTGTTCTTTTGTTGAGGCCCAGTTCCATTTTTGGGTTGGTTTCAAGGGAAACCAAGCAAAGAGGCCTGTTCTTGGAGGTCCAAATCCTTGTATCTCATACCCTGGTGGCAACAAGCCGTGGCTCTACGGCGTGACGTGCAACGATATGGCGCATGGAAGAAGTGCGGCGTGGTGCAGCGTGGCACGTTTGAACAAACCCATTCAGTAAGGCATAAGGCTATACTTGCGGTTTTGGTCCGTGCTGCGCTTTGATGGCATTTGTCAAAAGCCGTTTTGAGGCACAAGGTGCGGCGGTTTCCAAAGCCACGGGTCTCTGAGCCAGCCCAGTTTGCGCCTCCTGACTCGCAGATTGGCTCTTTCTTGGCCCATCGGCCTCACCCCCGCGGCTTCTCCGGGGGATGCGCCTCAGCATGGGAGCCAGGCTACATGTTCACTTACCAACTAACCATTTTGGGGGTTCTAACGAAATTGGCTCCTTTCGGCTGCTGCACGCACAAATTGTCCCATGGCGCAAGCTGGAACCCGTTTGGTAGAGCCCACCTGCAGTCCCCTGACCGTCATGGAATTTCCAAAAGGGTCGATGCGCAACCACCGGGGTGCCAGCCGTTTCCAGCGGTTGACGGCCTGACAACGGAGCCACCAGGCTACACCTCTGCTTGACACGGAACCCAAACACCTTATTTGTAGAGGAAACGGCTTTTGGTGAATTTCTGGGGTTACATCTCAATTGCAGGGAGTATCTCCAAGGCTCGCCGAATCAAAGACCTGAGCCTCCCACCACCCATGTGATCGACGTGGCAGCCACCAAAGGCCCAGAGCACTGTGTATAAGCCGCCTGCAACGGGCGCAATCCATCCCCTCGCTTGAGCATCTGAACAATTGTTGAAACAACCTCCTTTTGGCTCGGGGGCCTATACAAAAAGTGGGCGAAACAACCGTATGGCCGCGAGTTGAAGTGGGGGGTTGCTGAGAAACTTCCAGCAGTGCACATCTGACAACTCCAGAAATGTGGAATTCTCTCAACCATGCTCACTCACCATTTCCTGGTTCCCCACTTTGAGAACCACGCTGTTTTGACGAGTGGCTGCCGAACCCGGTCTCACACTTTGAGGACCAAAAGTCCTTGCCGCCTTGTCGGGTCTCAAGGCAAACGCTTGCCTTCTGGTTTTCGGGGAAAAACACCTGGTGGTTTTAAAGGGGAGTGGTTGCCCAGCTCCTATCCAGCTCTGCGAACTGAGCAAACGGACGCCTGAAAGCGGAGCGGCACGGGAGCTCCTGGTCTTGAGAGTCATTCATTTTGTTCTTCCTTATCGATCTGAAATTGATTCATTGATTCATTCAATTGCCAATTTCGTCGAAACCTCATGTAGCCATCCAACTCCAAAAAGGACAGACCCATTTGTGCGTACCCACACTACCACACTACCCAAACCCCCTTGTCTTGTCCTGCAGCTCCGGCTCGAGCTCCAAGGCCTTGGCCGTGCCCCAAAACGTCTGGGAAGATGGGACATGGCCCGAAATCAACATGGCCAGGATGAGTTTGGGAGGCCCCAAAAAAACAGGCCAATTTTCGGAAATCCCGGCAAAAAACAAGACAAAGAAGAAAAATCGCCGAACCAAACACATGTCTCAGGATCTTGAAAGCCGGCGGAAAGAAGGAAGGGAAAAACACACACATCAGGTTCGTTGGGTCCACTTGAGGCCGAGTCCACCTGCAAAGCCCACGTACATGGCTCCCGCTGCGTTCAGCAAAATCCGTGTGCCCTTTCGATGTGGGGAACGGGTTGTAAGCTCTGCGAATGTGTGGCTTCTCGACGCTTACGTTCTGGTCATGGTGTAATTTGCTAGATTTACTGGCCAAATAGCAATTAAGAGCCAAAAGCCTCGGTTTCGGCCCTCCGAGCATCGTCGCGCGCACGGGGCGGAACTTCACCTGTTGGCAAATTGTTCCAGCAACCCCCTCAGATTAAACCATGTCTTACCATTCCAGCCCAGCAGAACTTATCAAAACGATGCAATGGTCAGAACTCCCTTCGTTGGGCGTGGCCATGGTTTCCTTACTAAGAACCATTGTGGCAGTCCAGGCGACAAGGGGCGCAATTGGCCATCTGCAGGCAAGTCACCATCAAAACCCCAACATTCCACCCAAAACCTATGGTGACTAATGGCCACCGTGTACCCCACCCTGACATGGCACCTTCACATGTTGAGGTCAAACCTATACACCCACGGCACCAGCGCCATTAGCGGGTGTGTGCAGCATCCCTTCAAAAAATCAAGGGCACCAACTCTAAAGAAAAGACATCCATCATGCTCTCTGCTTGTTTTTGAGGGTACACTTTGGCAGGTCAGTTTTCCCACAAACGAGGAATTGTCTGAACCCTATCGCAGCCAATCCACAACCTCGCACCCTGTTTGGTGTCTTGGTGCACTCAGAGCCATCGGAAGGAACAACTCCAAGTTCCGCTTCCGAGTCTTGCAAAGCCCAGCCAAAGCCTGATGGGAATGGCGGACAAACACTAGGCTGGAGAGCACAATCTCGCGTCACTCAGTTGGAACCATCAGCTTGCATTCGCTCGGCAGGGGCGCCGTTCACCGTCCTTCGCCAGGGGAACCCCCGATCGCGTAAGGCTTCAAAGCATCACAAGAAACAAGTTCAAAAAGATAGAAGGCTGCTTGCTTGACTTTTTTGCTTGAACCTCACAAGATGATCAGCGGACCCTTCACGGACCAAGACATGCCTCGGTGTGTAAGCAGCTTCTCGAAACAAAACAAAATCCCAGGCGACGACAGCAGCAAAGTATGAGTCAACTCGCACAGTATGAGTAAGTCAGCAAGTTGCGTGAAAATATCAAAAACTCGTGCAGGGTCACTGACACTGTGGAGCACGGCTTGTCACGGTCACGTTATGTTCATCTTCCGTATATAGAAACCTGCGACAATCAGGCGCAAGCAAACATGGTCGCACGTTTTGTCACTTCTGGTTCTTGGCATTTGCGCTCACAGCTTGTTCAAAGTCACATGTTTCGTCACGGTTCACTCTTCCACTTCGATCCTTTGGCTTCCTATTTGACAACCACCCTCTGAGGGGCTGTCTGCGCACATGATTTAGCATGTCTTTGATGTACCTTAGTTTAATTCACACGCGTGAGAAACGAAAACGACTTGCAACAGGTGATCTAGTGAACCTAGCGGATGGACTGGAAAAAACGGGGCAGAGTTCGTTGGTGTGCAGCCTTACCATTGACCGCGCACCTCAAAAGGTAAATTCCTGAAGAGCAGCTAGATTTCCGCGATATGAACATCTACAAACGTGGCAACATCATGACAAGCTGATCATATCTCTGTGACAGACAGTAACATGCAAGCCCATGTTTTTCCGTGCCATCTGCGAAAACCTGCAGATTTTCCAGAACACCTCCGGCTCCAGCCTTCAGCATCTCCACCCCACCCGGCCCATGGCTGCTAAGATGAGCCAAGTCACTGGAAGTCGTCTCAATGACCAAAGCTTGCTCTTCATCTGCAAGTACGGAATAGAAACCTGTGGAACTGATGTTGCTGGACGCTCTTTTGCCCCTCGCAGATGTCGCCATGTTGGGATGATGGGTGGAACATGTGGTAATGACCAGGTACAGGTTAAGCGGGAGATCCGTACGCTGCTGAGCTGATGAGTGGGACCAAAAGTCACCTGATTTGATCACCACTCGCCGAAGCCCTTGGGCTCTAAGAGTAGGCTGCAATAACCCACGGCAATTTGCGGATGGTAAGGTCTTCGTTAGTTTATCTTCGTTAGTTTTCAGGATAGTAAGTCGTCTGCAAATGCTGGATTTTTGGTTGCCATGTTAGATTACTGGAGAGTAGGTAGAAAGTTTGATGTCCTTGACTTGGTCTCCAGGTACAAAACGTTCAACAAGTTGAGTTAAGACCCGAGGCGCCAGATATCCCACGATGGCCCACGCAACAATCTGACCCGGGATGCTGAGACACAAATTCTCGCAGGCCATGCGCTATGTCCACTCGGGTCTGGAAATCATACTCTGACTCCACTGTGTATTCTTCAAAGATCTTCAATCGCCATTGCAAATCTCATAGAGTTCGAGCGTGGTGCTTGCATACAGAATCGGTATGAATTGGTCATGCTCAATCACCTACCTAGACACAAAGAAATAATAACGAGAGGCTAGCATTTGCGCGTGGCTAGGGAAAATATCATGGAATATCCGCACTTAATACCGTCCGGGAAGCAAATGTAGCAATGAAAACTGAACGGTTCATAGATGGTAGGGGTTCCATTGCCAGGTCAAATCACCAATATCCTTTGCATGAGCAGGTTCGAAGACCTTCGTTGTAGCGCCACCACAGTCATGACATGTCATGACCATCAACTAGCAACCAATCCCCCTGCAGCAAAGCAGCGATGAAGGCACAGCACGAAAAAGGCTGGAAAACCTCAAGTCAAAGGCGGGTTTGCAGATGGATCATGGCAGATCAAATGGAGGGGTTTGGAGATGCCATACGGCGAACCGAGTTCGCCTCAGGGGTGGGGAGATGGGAAGTTCACCACATTCACGACTTGGAAGGCACGATCTTGTGGACAAATGGTCTCCCCATGTCTCCCCCATTCATCGTCCCACCAGTGCGGGTGAGCAAAGGCTGCACCCAGCAGAAACAAAAATCTCTATCGGGAAGAACCACTTCTGTAACAGCCAAAGTGGCAACCCGAGACCGTCCTGTAAGCTGTTGCCGTAAGGCAAACACTGCCCGGGCGCCATAGGTTGCCCACCTGCTCCTTCAACTTGTCATTCAACACGCTGCGCTGCGCCATCTTTCGCTCCTGACCGGATGCAGATGATGTGTATACATGGCCATGGCATGCTATGGCCATGGTTCAAAACCTCCAACCGCCATCCACATCAGACAAGATTTGATGAAACTACCCCTAGTTTTCCTAAGTGAACCATGGACCATGGACCACATGTCTGCAAAAGTTTTCTGGTCATTAAACCTTGAGCTATCCCCCCCGATCCCACCGATCCCTCCCCGCCCTCCCTAACAGCCAGCCAGTGCCTCGGTCCAGATCCAAGGGCGGCAGACGCAGGGTCACAAGGCCACCTGAATCGACCGGATCTGATTGGGTTCCCTTGGTCCCCAAAAAGGTTAACCTATCCGGGTCCTTAAGGAGCGCCTGGCCTTCCAGGGGGGTGTGGCCCCTTTTTCTGGAGTTGGTACCCCTATTTTGTGGGTGCTAGAAGCTAAAGGAAACCGATGCCAATTTTGGGGCGGCTATAAAGCGAGAGAGAGAGAGAGAGAGGAAAAAAAAAAGAGACACACTCACCTCAACTCAGCTCAACTCAACTCAACTCAACTCAACTCAACTCAACTCAACTCAACTCAACTCACTCACTCACTCACTCCCTCCACCCAGTATAAGCCATAGCAACCACATGCACAAAACATCCACTCGGCCCTTCGGAAGAACAATCACGAAATACACTCAGGCAATCGCTTGCTGAGTCCATCTTGAGATTTCTAGGATCCCTAGGACTTGCCATCCAATCGATGGGAATGCCGCGGCACCAAGATCTTGGAAGGCTACTGTCGTTGGGGCAGCAACCAAAGACTAGACTAACTCGACATTCAAGCCCGCATCTAGCTTCCATCTGAAGACTTTAGCTGTTATCCCAGTCATCCATGACTTCGCACACCTCCCAAGCATGCAAGTTGCGCGCAAATCCAACACCGCCCAAAAGCCAAGTTTCGCCAAGCTTCAAAAGTGGTTTGATGTTTGTGGATGCCCGGGCGGCCCGAGCCCCTCGAACCGTTGTCACTTTGAAGCTCCGAAACGGCTGCCTTCGTAATCGTCTCCGGCTCTCTCGGCCCTTCGCCTTGCGGGGCAGACCTACCTTCAAGGGTTCTCTAGTCGAGATGGCACAAAGCGTGCAGGCAAGCAATCAAACCAACAAAACCATGGATCCTTGATGACTCACCTTTTGAACGCCGAGGATGGGCGTGCTGGAAATCCTGCTCATGCGAAGACGCCTCATGCGGCTTTCTGGATGAGGGTTGCGGAGGAATAGTGGGGCATTTTCACCCCCTTGGACTTCAGAGTCTCCTTGGCTGCGTTGTATTCCGCATCCGTGATACCTGTCATGCTCCGCTGCACCCCACCCAGGAAGTAGTGCTCCTCCACAAACGCGGTGATGTCGGAGCTGAGGACGTCCGACTGCGCCAGGCACGGGATGATGTCGAACTCTGCCCCCTCGATGTCCACCTTCAGCAGCACCTTGTCGCCGGGGATGGTCCACTTCTTGATCAGCTGAATGACGTTGATGAGGTGCACGTGCACGTCTTCCGGGCTGCTGGCTTGCGGGGCCAAAGATGATGATCCTGCCGTGGTGCCCATGACGTGGAAGGTGGTGTCTGCGTCGCACATCCAGGCACCGTTCAGCATAACATGCAGCTCTTTGCCCGGCACCGATTGTGCAGCAACGCCGTCAAGGGCGGCCTTGAAGTGGGGATTTGCTTCCACCAGGATTGCTTCATACTCCTGGTTGGGGCAATCAGCAATGTTGCCGTACTGACCCTGAAGGAATGCGTTGTAGCTGTTGCCATCTGCTGCTCCCAAGTCAATGAACACGCACTTGTTCTTTGTGCGGGTTGGCCTTGGGATGGAGGACGTGTCTGCCTGGCACTGACACGGGCTCTCGGTGGTGTTGGACTGCTGTCGCTCCACGCTCAGGAACTTGCTGGCGTTGCACGCCAATGCGAGCAGGGCGAAAATGGACCAGCGGGACATGATGCCGGCCTTCTGAGCTACGTTCTCCGCGGGCTTTAGCTGAGCAAAACACAGCTTGCAGTTGTGTGAAAGAGCATTATCTGGCAAAGAGGCTGAACGCATGCGATGAAAAAACAGCCCCTGGTTTCAGTCTTGGCATCCCTCCAAAGCACCTTTTGGACGCCGCGGTGGATTCTGGATGGCGTGCTGGAAATCCTGCTCATTGGCCTCATGCGGCCTTCTGGACAAGGGTTTCGGATTTGTACTGGGGCATCTTCACCCCCTTGGACTTCAGAGTCTCCTTGGCTGCGTTGTATTCCGCATCCGTGACACCCGACATGCTCCGCTGCACCCCACCCAGGAAGTAGTGCTCCTCCACAAACGCGGTGATGTCGGAGCTGAGGACGTCCGACTGCGCCAGGCACGGGATGATGTCGAACTCTGCCCCCTCGATGTCCACCTTCAGCAGCACCTTGTCGCCGGGGATGGTCCACTTCTTGATCAGCTGAATGACGTTGATGAGGTGCACGTGCACATCCTGCCCATAGGGTTGCGGAGCCATAGATGATGCTGCCGTGGCGGGCGTCACGTGGAAGGTGGTGTCTGCTTCGCACATAAAGGCACCGTTCATCATCGCATGCACCTCCTTCCCGGGCACCGATTGTGCAGCAACGCCGTCAAGGGCGGCCTTGAAGTTGGGGTTTGCTTCCACCAGGATTGCTTCATACTCCTGGTTGGGGCAATCAGCAATGTTGCCGTACAGTCCCTGAAGGAATGTTTTGTAGCTGTTGCCATCTGCTGCTCCCAAGTCAATGAACACGCACTTGTTCTTTGTGCGGGTTGGCCTTGGGATGGAGGACGTGTCTCCCTGGCACTGACACGGGCTCTCGGTGGTGTTGGACTGCTGTCGCTCCACGCTCAGGAACTTGCTGGCGTTGCACGCCAATGCGAGCAGGGCGAAAATCGACCAGCGGGACATGATGCCGGCCTTCTAAGCTACGTTCTCCGCGGGCTTTAGCTGAGCAAAACACAGCTTGCAGTTGTGTGAAAGAGCATTATCTGGCGCAAAGAGGATGACCGCATGCTTAGCCTTCATATTTTTCAACGCTACGACCAGACTTCTTGAATCCTTCTGGAAAAGCCACGCCTTCTCTTCCGGGCAGATCTCCATGCTGAAGAGCGGGTTGTCCTTCGGGCAAGGCTCATGGGCAGTTGACACGGTGCGCCTTGCCCCGGGTGAAGTTTTGCTAACAGACTGGCGGTCCTTGGCTTGCGCTTCTTAAACTCAAGCTGATCCCCCACCAGCGCGATGTGGTTCCGGATCCAGCTATCAGGCGCTGGAAGCGGACTACGGGTAAGGTGCTTCTGGCGGCTCAACCGCTCGCACGCCATCAGACTTTATCCTCGGAGAGGCGGGAAGTTGCGGAGCCCTTGACGCACCGGAAGGCCGCCAGGTCGAAAATGATGCTCCTGAGAGAGACCAGGGGTGGAGTGGGAGGGGGGAGACGGAGTGATGGGACAGGGCGTGTGCTTGAGGCTCGGTAGCCGTGCCCCAAAGGGAGAGCTACCATTTCGGGCGGCCCGTTGAGGTTGGCTTGGCAAGTGAAAGGTGGATGCTGAGTTGCCAAAGACTTGGACTTTGGTGAACATGTCCGAATGGTAACTTGTTGAGCATACCCTCCCAATGTCATCCCCCAACTCCCGCAGATACGGGTAAATATTAATAGGGGCGTCAAAGTAGGGACCGAAAAGGGCACCAACTCCAAGCAAGACGCACCTGCAAGTGCTCCCAGCGACCCAGGTAGGGCGGCACCTCACGCCAAAAGGCGGTCGACAAACCGCCGGAAAGCAGGGGTCGCCAAAAAACACAACGGTCCAGAACAAAAAATTGAGCCCTCAAAACGGGCCCAAGAAGGTTGCAGAGGTGTTGCAGACGCACAGAAAGCATCTGAGTCGATTCAAGGCCAAGGCCCGCTCTGAAGAACTAGGCCCCTAAGCCCACCAAAACATGCGCGCAAAGAATTGGCTGGAACCCCACATGAGTGCGATGGAGCAGAAAGAAGGCCAGTGGGATTCAGATCACTGTGCGGCTCATAGCCCTCCTGAAAATTGATCGCGGATGTTTCGCCGTTTCACACAGCTAAACACTCTGACCGTGGCTCTTGCCGTGCCCAATTCTTCAGAAAATACGCCGATGCCGATGCCTCAAAACCTATAGATCCCGAAAGGTCTCCACGAGAGTTGTCCAAACAAAAGAATCCAGAAGTCAAAGACTCGAAAATCTGCAATCCGCAGAGCCAGATCCACCCCCAAGCACATCCTCCAGGTCGAGACTGTCAAAGACTCGCGTTCAACCTTGAATCCGTGCCTCTGATGGAAAGCGTGGCCACAGTTGGAACTTCCCCCCCCCTAGAAGGAAAGAACCATCAAAGAGACCACCCAAAGACTGCGCACAAAGACGTGAAGTTCACTGCTCTTGACCGGCACGTTCACAACATGATCAGGATCTGTTTGTAACGATACCACCGTTTCCTGCTTTATGAAGCGGGAACCCAGATGAAAACCACTAGTCTTGGGGGAGGGTCCCGCATGTGACATGGTCTCTCATGTTTCAAGCGGCTTGGACACCGGGCCTGACCGCACGGCGCTCGAAACTGGGGTCCTGTTCCGTCTAGCTTTGGCAATTGTTGCCAGGTTCTACTAGAATCCCGGCTTCTGCTCCGAGAACACGCCTGACGCTTCAAAGAAGCCCTGAAAAACGGAGGCCGAGATACTCCGCATCGGCATGCTGAAATGCGGAGCGCTTGCGTCTTGCAGACAAAACGTGCCGTCAGATGTCAATGATGCATGAAAAGCCTGTGTGCGGCGCATGTTTTCTGCTGGTGCCTTGGGCAACGGAGCTGACACGCCCGGCATTGACTGTGCATCTGCTTTCCTAATTGGTAGATTGGATTGGTTTGGAGCTGCCCCGGGCTGGTTTCAAGCTTCCCATTTACCCATTACCAGGGGGGAGTCTCATGCGGGGGTTACAGTAAAGAAAAGCTGCAAGGGGTTACCTGACCGGATGCATCCGCAAAAACTGATGCACTTCATTGCCTTCCAAAACTTCGGCTGCTTCCACCGAGGCGAAAAGGGGAGGTCGGGCGACGAAAAAACAGCCCCTGGTTTCAGCCATTGCTTCAACTCTTGGCATCCTTCTTCAAAGCACCTTTTGGACGCCGCGGTGAATTCTGGATGGGCGCGCTGGAAATCCTGCTCATGCGCCTCATGCGGCCTTCTGGACAAGGGTTTCGGATTTGTACTGGGGCATCTTCACCCCCTTGGACTTCAGAGTCTCCTTGGCTGCGTTGTATTCCGCATCCGTGACACCCGACATGCTTCGCTGCACCCCACCCAGGAAGTAGTGCTCCTCCACAAACGCGGTGATGTCGGAGCTGAGGACGTCCGACTGCGCCAGGCACGGGATGATGTCGAACTCTGCCCCCTCGATGTCCACCTTCAGCAGCACCTTGTCGCCGGGGATGGTCCACTTCTTGATCAGCTGAATGACGTTGATGAGGTGCACGTGCACATCCTGCCCATAGGGTTGCGGAGCCATAGATGATGCTGCCGTGGCGGGTGTCACGTGGAAGGTGGTGTCTGCTTCGCACATAAAGGCACCGTTCATCATCGCATGCACCTCCTTCCCGGGAACCGATTGTGCAGCAACGCCGTCAAGGGCGGCCTTGAAGTTGGGGTTTGCTTCCACCAGGATTGCTTCATACTCCTGGTTGGGGCAATCAGCAATGTTGCCGTACTCCTGGTTGGGGCAATCAGCAATGTTGCCGTACAGTCCCTGAAGGAATGTTTTGTAGCTGTTGCCATCTGCTGCTCCCAAGTCAATGAACACGCACTTGTTCTTTGTGCGGGTTGGCCTTGGGATGGAGGACGTGTCTGCCTGGCACTGACACGGGCTCTCGGTGGTGTTGGACTGCTGTCGCTCCACGTTCAGGAACTTGCTGGCGTTGCACGCCAATGCGAGCAGGGCGAAATTCGACCAGCGGGACATGACGCCGGCCTTCTAAGCTACGTTCGCCGCGGGCTTTAGCTGAGCAAAACACAGCTTGCAGTTGTGCGAAAGAGCATTCTCTGGCAAAGAGGCTGAACGCATGCTGACGTTTTGAAGGAGTCTGGAATCAGGGGGTTAGATTCGGGGTTTCCTAAACCCAATTGGCTAGATGTTGATTGCCAAAACAAGCCGAAACGTACTTCAACATATCTGTATTAGTTCAAAAGAACAATGCCCAAAAAAAACACACACAAAAAATGGAAATATTCTTGTTTTGAAGCTCAACCACCCCGACGCTTTAACCGATCAGTTGTGCGGTTTTGGGCGAACACGAAGTAGCCCAGGGAATCAAAGAGGTACACGTGGTTCACGAAGTACCAAAACAACCCAAAGCACAATGTAGTTAAGGCATGTTGCACTGCTCCTATCTTGAACCCAAACCAGACCACCCAAAAGAACAAAGCAAGTCCGAAGCGGCCGCAGTTCTTTTAACCGGGATTGCTGAAAGTAGCACTGCTTCCAGGGCACGGATGCGCCTGGAGCAGGAGGTGCGTTGACCCCCCGTGAAACTTAAAGGCAACACAACGCGTGTCCTTGCAAGTGCGTGCAGTGCGCGCAAGGCGTGGCAGGCGTGCCCGCGCCGGTCCGGAGACCTAGTGGTCCTGAGACCGTGAGCGGTCCGGAGACCGGGAGGTCCGGAGACCATGAACGGAAGTGCAGAGCGTCTGCAACTTCCCTTTGCAGAGCCTTGCACAAGGCAGTGCAGGGTGGGTGGGTGGGTTTCAAATGAAACAGAACAAGTTTGGGTCAAGGCTAGGAGCAAAACGGCCACCGCGGAAGTAGATTCACAACATGCCCACAAGGGAAAAGAAAACCCTAAGCGTTAAGGCATGTTGCACTGCTCCTATCTTGAACCCAAACCAGACCACCCAAAAGAACAAAGCAAGTCCGAAGCGGCCGCAGTTCTTTTAACCGGGATTGCTGAAAGTAGCACTGCTTCCAGGGCACGGATGCGCCTGGAGCAGGAGGTGCGTTGACCCCCCCTTCAGTGTTTCAGGCAACCCCGGTATAAGCG